TGAACCAAATACAATTCAAGAAGCTCTATCCAGCGAAGAAGCTGATCAGTGGAGAGGTGCTGTTGAGAGTGAACTCAATTCTTTAGAAGAAAACCAAACATGGATAGTAGTTCCAAAACCAGCAAATTGCAATTTAATTAAGACGAAGTGGATTTTCAAGAAGAAAAGGGAACCTGATGAAAGCATTCGGTACAAAGCCCGACTTGTTGTTAAAGGGTTTACTCAACGCAAAGGTATAGACTATGAAGAAGTTTTTTCACCCGTCGTGCGTTACACATCTGTACGTTACTTAATGGCATTATCTGCGCGATTTGGGTTGAAAATACAGCAAATGGATGCTGTAACAGCTTTTCTACAGGGAGAATTATCAGAAGATATCTATATAGAGCCACCTTCGGCAGTCGAAATTCCAAAGGGATTTGTACTTAAGCTAAAAAAGGCACTTTATGGCCTAAAGCAAGCTAGTCACGTTTGGAATCTCAAACTCGATGCGGCATTGAAGAGATATGGCCTAAAGCAGTCTCAATTTGATCCTTGCATCTATTACAATACAGTTGGGGAGAAAATGACATTCCTAGCATTATACGTTGACGACATGTTGTTATTTAGTAATGATATTTTTTATACTAATGAGCTAAAAACAAACTTAATGAAGAATTTTAAGATGAAGTTCTTAGGAGAGGCAAAACAATGTTTGGGCATGAGAATCACGCAAAAGGACAATAATATATATATTGATCAAGAAGAGTATATAAAGTCCATGCTTCAAAGATATAACATGGAAAGTTGCAATCCTATTTCGACTCCATTTGACTTGAATCAGAAACTTAAGAAATCAGATACGACTGATGAAACAATGAAAGAAGTTCCTTACCAGCAAGCTATTGGAAGTCTTTTGTTTGCTGCTCAGTGTACAAGCCCAGATATTTGCCAAGCAGTAAATTTTTTAAGTCGTTTCAACAATAATCCAAATCGTATTCACTGGATGGCAGTGAAACGCATTTTTAGATACTTAAAGGGTACACTTGGAATGAAATTGTTTTTTTTCGCAAGAGGAAACCATGAGATAGTTGCTTATTCGGATGCTGATTGGGCAAACGATGTAAATGAGCGACGCTCTGTGACAGGATACGTCAATATTTTACAAAATGGAGCAATATCATGGAATAGTAAGCGTCAACCAACTGTAGCTTTATCGACCAGTGAAGCTGAATACATGGCGATGTCGGCTGCTACACAAGAGGTTGTATGGTTAAGAGGGCTTGAGAAAGAACTCAACATAAAGTTTGATGAACTGTTACCAACAAAAGTTTTTTGTGATAATCAAAGCGCTATTCATATTGCTACAAACGATGCTTATCATCCAAGAACTAAGCATATTGACATACGACATCACTTTATTCGAGAGAAAAACAAAATGAACGAAGTATCTTTTTGCAGTATTTCAACAGATAAAATGATAGCAGATTTTTTGACCAAACCTGTTTGCTTTGATAAACACAAGTTCTTTTGTAAACAAATAGGTTTGAAAATTATATAAGTATATTTCGAGTGGGGGTGTTGGATTATATACTTTGTTATAATATACTTTACGAAATTGTTCTGTATATAATTAAGTGTTCCATGCTTGTACTTTAACTGTTGTCTGAAAAATAAAATTAATTCTGCCTACAATTCTAATAAATTCATAAACAATTGCGATATATGCTGCCAAACTAAATACGATAGGAAGCCAATAAAACCGAAATTCCATTTAACAAAAACACCCAAGGATACTAACGAAGTAGTACACCTAGATACTTACACAATTAAAAAACACAACTTCATGACCTTCATTGATAAATTTTCTAAGTTCGCAGTAGCACTCTTTTTAGAAGACAAAAATAGCATCACATTCGTCGAAACTTTACGAATGTACTTCGCTATGAGAGGGAAGCCTAGACTATTTATAACTGATAATGAATTTAATTCCGTAAACGTAGAGGACTTTTTAAGAGAAGAAGGTGTCGAAGTTCATTTTACCAAACCCAATAGTCATACAGGGAACTCGGACATCGAAAGGTTTCACAATACGATAGGAGAAAAATTTAGAATCATAGAACTAGAATCCCGAACTTTATGAACAAGAGAGAAGATGTACAAATGTATTCAGACCTATAACTCCATTCAACTCTGAAAGCAAAACCTTCAGACGTAGCCTCAGGAAAAATTGATAAAAAAATAATCTACGATAGGATAAAAGGGACTAAAGAGAAAATCATTAACAAAATGAATACGAAAAGAGAGAGTTATACTGAAAATAGAAGCAGTGGACACGTGAGAAATTATAGAGCTGTTAGACATAAGCACGAACCCAGATACAGAAAGTTACCACTTCAAAACACCCATACAAGTAACATTAAAAGACCAGGAAAATTTTCAGGTGCTATCGATATCATTGCCTCTAATTTTCGTAATGCTGATAATGGGAGCAACGGCAACAATGATAACTGAAGACATCAAAAACGAAGACGAACTCGCCGAAATAAAACTTGAAAACGTACAAGTGATCACAGATTTTGACATCATCCTTCACATAATCAGACCACAGGAAATAGAAAATATAATTGACGCACTAGAAAATTTAGCTAGATACTCTAAATTGACCGAGAAAGAACAAATTCTGACTCAGGAATTCACAACATTACGGAGTAAACTTTACACACTATTACCACATAAACAAAAAAAGAGGATTAATTAACATATTAGGTACAACAATGAAATGGTTGTATGGAACTATGGACGACGATGATAGACAGAATATAGAGGAGCATCTCAAAGTTATGGATACGAACAACCATATTGCCATAGATACCTTAAATAAGAATATAAAAATTAACGATAATTTCAACAAAACATTCCAAAGCATCCAAAAAGCTATAGAATCAGATAGAAGACAAATAGCCCTTAAATTTAATTCAATTCAACAAGAAAATCGAGAAATCCATAGGCAACTCCTATATCTAGACATACTGCTAAGGGTTAGGACACTCAGTAATAGCATAGAGCACATTCAGAATAATTTAGCATATGCTATAGATATAATATCGATATATTTAAGTTAGAGAACATTGAATTAGGAGCAGCCACCTCCGCAGGTAACATTATATTTTCACTTAAAATTCCGACTAATGTAACTACAGCAAAACATGTATTTATAACACCATGTGCAAATAAAAATTTAGAGGAACTACAATTTAAAAGCGAACATATTGTAGAAATCAATAATACTAGATATGTTGATTCAAAAAATTTAAGAAAGAAAGAATCTGAAAGTTTCTAATTCATGTGTAATCAAGAAAAATTGTAAGAAAATTAAAAATAGTAAAGAAGAAATTATGGAAATTGAAAAAGGCTTAATAATTATAAAAAATACAAAAGGAATCGAAATAAACGAAAGAACCTTATATTTAATAGGAACTCATCTCATTTCATTCGATAATTGTGAACTTAAAATTAGAAACGAAACTTATACAGAAATATGTAATACGTTACCTTGAATCGAATATTAATCATACACAAGTCGAACCTACTTTTGATGAATTAATCATTACCCAAATTGAAAACGCTCAAAAAATTGAAGAACTTACCTACCACAAGAAAAAATATCAAATCAACATTTGGCTAATAATTTCATTCATTGCAGCAATTGCTTTAGCTTTGTTCGTAATTTTTGTCCATTTTACAAACAAACATAAAGCAATTGAATTAAATATAAATACAAAAACCCAGGAGTGTTTTCAATCAAGGGAAGGGGGGGGTTACGTCACCTGGCCATTCCACTCCAACAGAAAACCGAATTGAGGTTGACTGGTCAGCGTAACGCTACACCTAACAAAATACTTCAGTGCATTGTACCATCGTATTGCACAATAATAAAGAATTTGTCAATAAAGAAGTAATAATAAGTGCAACGACACTTTTAGATTGCCAATAAAGAAGTAATAATAAGTGCAACGACACTTTTAGATTGCCAATAATTTCAATTGAACAATAAACAAACCAATTTTGCTGACTTAGCTTAAATAGTTAATAAAATAGCTTGTAAGAACTTTTTGGATTCAGAAATGTAATTTCATTTACTCAATAAAGTGCGTCTTAACGCTAATAAAATATTTTTTTAGTTTGCGACACGCTACAAAATTTGTCTCGCGCACCCATTTGTGTGTATTTTGAATCAGTATTTTGATGGCTGTTCGCCATTTTTCTAGTCTGCAAACGAATAAGCTGACGTAGAAGCAAACAAATTCAAGCACATTGTTGCATTCTACCGTACTTTTTCAAAGCTTTAAAATCTTAAAACATATGTGAAAAACTTTTATAATCTGAATATTTCTAATGTCGCAAGGAAAACCAAATTTTATAAATAGCATTTTTAAAAAGCAATCATCTAATATTTTTTAAGTTTTTGGGCATATATGTTACCATTTGAACTACAAATACTACCAAGTTTTAAGAGACTATTTAATGCAACTCAGGTCAAAAAAGCGCAGTTTAGACCAAAATAAGCAACTCTAAAAAACAGATGATCGCAGCTGTGGCCCAGGATAACGTCTATTGCTAAGATATCTCACTTGTATTTGTACACAATGACCTCAGTATATCCAGTAAAAAGACTGTGGTGAAGTCCTTTATGGGGATAAAGTTTCCAGAGGTGAAATTTTAGGTAACACACAATTTCTTACACACATAGTTGCTTTTCAGCACTCATGAAAGAAACTTAAGAAATATTTGAAAAAAAAGTTCATATAGTACATAAATTTTTGAAAAAAATTCCATATAATGTATGTACTCTGGTTAATAATATCAAAAAATGTTTTAGAACCACCGTTTAATGTTATATTTGATACAAATTAATATTGCTGCCCCGAACGCTCTGCGCCTTGCCAGTGAATAATACATTTACTTAAAATTACATCCCTGGTCCTTGTTCTTTCCGTATCGCATCGTGGTAAATTCACATTTCTCAGAAATTTGACAACAAAACAAAACAAAGCGAGTATTTCATTTGCTAATTTTCGAGATTTCTATTGTTTAATGTAAATTTATGTCTTTTTAGGATATGTTGAGCCAACAAAGAAGACGCAGTTGGAAAATGGAGTAATTAGTAATGAAGTAGCAGGCATATTTTGAAAATTATGCCGATAAGCAGGATGGAATTTGGAAAAGTAAGTGCCTGGTTACAGCATATCTATGTATTAAAAAGTATTTAATTAAATTGTTTATAGAAATGTTATAAATCGAGTGGCTCATTTACGATGTGCTCCAAACATTTGGCGAACTTTTTTTCGCCTTTTCAACGTGGTAAGTAACAAGTTAAGATGACTGCCATCACGGCCGGTAAGAAACCACAAGCAAAGGGCAGACAACCTTCCAGGAAGCTGCCTCCTGTCCCCGAGTCGAAGCTGCAGTTCAGCAAGAGCAGGTCAGCAAATTGCTACCCTGATCAAACGTAAACTAAAGCGCTCTGCTGTGATTGCACTCCGTAAACGTGAAAACTTGGTGCATGCTGAGAAATATCAAACAAGAAAACTCCGTGATGGACGCCGTGGGATAGAGTTGCGCTGTGTGGCAAAGAAATGCGGCCAATTCTACGGGCCTAAAAAATACAAATTGGATTTGTGATGCGTATCCGCGGTATCAACAAGGTTGCACAAAAAGTGCGTAAAGTTTTACAGTTCCGTCTTCGCCATATTAAAACGTTGTGTTCATCAAATTGAGCAAGGCAACCATTAATATGCTACGTATGCCGAACCCTATATGGGGTTATCCAAAATTTAAATCAGTTCGTGAATTGATGTACAAACGTGGAATTGTCAAGCACAACCATCAACGTGTCCCAATCTCTGCTTTGTGATCGAACGCAAATTTCGCGAAGCACACGAAATTCAGTGCGTTGATTATTTGGTGCACGAAATATTCACTGTTGGAACCCACTTCAAGAAAGCCTCCAACTTCCTGTTGCTATTCAAGCTCAACACATCAACCCGAGGCTGGCGCATGAAGGCTAATCACTACGTTGAGGTTGGTGATTTCGGTAGCCGTGAGGATAAGATCAACAAATTGCTGCACAAGATGGCTTATAGAAATTGTTGTTTTGTATTTAAGGCGACAAAAAAATTTGGCACATCTTTAAAAGACGCCCAAGCAAAAAAAAATAATAAATAAAAATTTCCTGAAGTTGCCTTTACACGGGTCGATTTCTGTCAATTGGAAAATTGACTAAGATATCGACTAGCCAAAACGCTTACTATTTACGGTTGAATTGCAATTTACACGGGTAGATTTTGGTTAAACGAAAAAAATCGACCGTGTAAAGGCAGCTTAAATAACGTTCAAATTAATCATCCCCTTTGAGATGGAAAATACCAATAACCATTTCATAATTTCGAAAACTAATCCATTTATATTTGTTCTTGCATTTTTCGCACCACATGTGAGGTATTTTTTTTTAAGGTGCTGTGTTCCCCAGGAGGCCTATTTTCCCCTTTACAACTTAAATTAAAAAGAATTAAAACTAAAGCATGCAATATATAAAGAAAATTAAAAATTGTCTTACATCTAGTAAACTTGAAAAATTGCACATTAAATTCATTTTTCATGTTAAAATAAAATTAAATATCACAATTCAGTTGAAGTGTATACATATGTACATATTTACAAAATGTGGTCTGTTTGCACCCACAGTAAGTTCCCATAAAGCCTAGCCCAAATTCAGAACTGAAAAAAACGAGCAAATGGGGTCGGAAACTACTAGCTTTAAAAGCTTAATGTGGAAAATGTTTGAAGAGCTGCGAAACTGTATTGCAATAATAAAAATAACAGTGCATAAATTGGAAAAATTATTTTTGTTTTGCTTTATAATTTTTGGGAATATCGGTTCAGATGGAATTTTTTTATTTGTTTGGTTTTTCAGCTCATTAATGATGCACCCAGAGTTGCATTTACTGTTTATGAAAATATTTCATGAAGCGTTCCAAAATTAGCTCGGAGCAACTAAAAGTTGATTAAGCCTAAATGAAATAGTTTTTTATTAAATATTTATTCCTGGTATTTAGTAAAAATCATTCAGATCAATACTAATGTATGAAATGAAAGTAAATAAAAATCTACGAATACATTTCATGAATATTTTGTCATAGAGCCATTATTAAATACAGATATAACTTTGTCGGGGGTTGGTGCTGACGTATATAGAATTAATGCGTTAGAAAGAGATAAATATAAAAGCTCATCGCGCTAATTTAGATATACTTGTATACCTGTTACTCGTCTTGTATATACTCCAACTGCGAAAATAATGACAATTATAATTTATTTAGATGCATATTTTAGCTAAATGTTATATCGTCGCCTGGAAATAACAGTAGAAGATTTACAACAAATTATTATAAAGCTTAAATACAAAATTGGGGGGAAAAAACTTATCAGTGAAGGTGTAATCAGAGATGCATTACCATACTTAGGTTATTTCTTGACAAAACTTATCAACAAAAGTTTAACAGCTGGTGTAGTGCCCGAGGAATGGAAAGTATCTACGGTAGTTCCGGTCAAAAAGGTTGAGAACACCTTACCAGAGAGAGAACTTTACCAAATCTTGAGAAGGTCTTAGAAACAGTGGTAAAAAATTAGCTAGTTGAGTATATTAATATACTAATCAAAGAACAATCTGGGTTGCGGGCAAAACATTCATGCCAAACGGCTCTCAATTGGGTTATATCTCAATGGAAAGAAGATTTGAGGGGAAAAAAAGTTATAGTTGCAGTATTTATAGACTTAAAAAGAGCGTTTGAAACCATTGATCGAGGGTTACTGTTGGGTAGGTTACAGCAAATAGGCATCAAGAAGGTTGAGCTGAAATGGTTTGAGAGCTTTTTAACCAACAGAAAGCAGCACACAGTCATAGGGGAAGTGTTGTCTGACGATTTGCCCGTGGATATTGGACTTCCACATGGTTCAGTGCTAGCGCTTATTCTGTTCAACATTTATATCAACGATATTTTATCATCAATCAGGTATTGTAAGATAAGATTGTTTGCTGATGATGCATTGTTGACCATAAGCGAAGCTGATTTAGGCGCAGCAATCCATAAAATGCAAAACGACTTGGACTCACTGTATATCTGGTTATGCAAAAATAAGTTAATGTTAAATGTAAAAAGGACAAATTATATGGTAATTTCTTCATCTACTAAAACGAGTCTAGAACAACAAGAGTTACATATTAAGAACGAAAAAATTTTAGAAGTAACTACAATTAAATATCTTGGTGTTCAAATTGACAATAAATTAAAATTCCATGATAACATTGACTATATTGTGAATAAAACGTCGAAAAAAATTGGATTTATGAAAAGAACATGCAAATATCTAATTAGGAGATATAAAGTCATAGTTTATAGATCAATTGTCGAGCCACACTTCATATACTGCCCTACTATTTTGTTTATAACATCTGACACGCAGATACATAAGCTACAAAAAATGCAAAATAGGCCTATGAGACACATTCTTAACGCCCGATACGATACCAGCGTCTCAATGCTGAATGAGTTAAACTGGCTAAATGTGAAACAATTAATTTTCTTCCACTCAATGAAATTTATTTATAATATTAAGAATGGAGCCCTTCCAAAATATTTGAGTGACAACTTTAGGTATAGTAGTGACACTCACACCTATAAAACAAGAGTTAGGGATTATTTTAAACCTCCATTCTACCAAACGGAAAACCTAAAGCAAGATTTGTACTATAAAGGTTTGAAAACATACAAGAAGCTGCAACAGCTTACAACAATTCAAAATTCGATTATACCACCATTGCAAAATACATATATGTATAGAATGAAATGATAAAATGATGATGATAAATGATAAAATTTTAAAGCATTGCTGCTTGATCCAGTAGAGAACAGTGGAGGGTCGGCATGGAAACTAGTCCTTTCCATCCGGCCTACAGCGCGTAAAGAACAGTGGAGAGGGTCGGCATGGAAACTAGTCCTTTCAGACCACTTGTATAACAGGAATTTCTAAAGATAGATTGGCTCGGAAACTAGTACTTTCCGACTGATCACAAATTACTTTATAGCCTTTACATATGACCACAAAGGCTGAAGTGTAGGTGCGACTAGGAATAAAGTCCACAGCAATGGTACAGGAAGTGCGGCTCTGGAACTCGTCCTTTCGGGCCGCCCACCTAACCAGTACCCAACATTCGGGCTGCTCGGGATCCCGTCTATTCCGACAGCTACGGTCACACTTATAATTAATATAATATAATTAATACAATTACCTTGTTTAAATGTATCTATATTTGTACAGGATAAAAGTTAGGATAGTCCTCTCAAAAAAATGTGTAAAGAACAGAATATGTAGTGAAATAAGATAATTGTTTTCATGTATGATTGTGGATCCTGTGATGTATGCATATATCAATATAAAAACTATAAACCCAAAATTGTACCAAATAAAATAGTAAGCAAATATTGTAAATTTTCAGACTTGTTATAGGCCTTTAAAGGCTGTCAATAAATGAATAAATATATAAAAATAAATAACGCGGCTGAAAAACAACAAAGCTTGTTCGTTGCAGAGCTGAGTCACTTGTTCCTTACCTCGGGTGGGGGGTAACGAGTAATTCTCAGCAATGCTTGAACAAATACTCTTGAACAAATACTCTTATTCTAAAATTCTCTACCCCTTTACCTCTGGTGGGGGGAAGTAGAGTCTAATAAAATAAGAGGTTAGTACTTTCAATATTAAAAGTTTTACCCCTTACCGCTGGTGGGGGGAAGTAAAACCTTAATAAAGAAAGAAGAATGAAAATTATTGAATGCTTTACCCCTTACCGCATACCAATTAAATTTTAGAAGAAGAAGAGTGTTATTGAGAGTCTTTACGATTCTGATCTGTTTATTAAATATTTTCCTTTTATATACAAATTCTAATTCTTTTTTCCTTAACTAATTGTAAATACATATGTATGTGTGTGTGTGTATGTACATGTTGTTTTGGTATGTACTATTTACAAACCAACGCTTTGGTCTTATCATAATTTTAATTTTAATGCTTGCATTTGCGTCGGCTATGGGTGTATGCATTTGTATGCGCGAACATAAGATTAAAAGAGATCAACGCACTGATATCTTATTTCGGTTGTGTACAAAATATTGACAGTTAAATATGTTACAATTTATGGGTTTTTATTGATTTCTCTTGTTTAT